TACATTACATTATATATGTAAGAATTATTTATTAGATGAAAAGGGAACCGATGTCGTGGCCAGATATTAGAATAGATCAATTCACGACGCGATGGGGTTTTAAGTCCGCCTTCGTTTCAGAATTTGAGTTTTTCGATTTTTTTTGTTATGTTTGTTTTATAGTTTGAAATTGCCTACAAAACGTTAGTGAGTTCTGTCTTCAAATGAAAGGTGTTTAAGCACCATACATCAAAGAAAAAGGGTTGCCAGTATACGTCTAACAGAAAAAGAAATATTCAGTCGAAAAACGCAAGCAAAACTCTAAATAAATTATAGTCTCTTATTCTTATTCAATAACAAGTTTATATTTAGTATATGATAAAGGATCGAGTAGATATTTCCCCAAGTGTTACCTTAACTAATACACCAAATAAATAAATGTCAAATTTCAAACTCATACCTACGTAGAACATTTTCATTTTGAATATCAAAAGAACATGTTTTCTCAATAATCTAAAAGTATAGAAAAATATATTTTAAGTATTAAATATCGTGTCAAAAATTGAATTCTCTTTTCTCCATACTTACCTATGTGAAAGTACATACCTACACAAATGGTCCATATATACACGCTATAAAGATCCCGAATTGTGAAGTCCATCGAAATCAAAATTGAAATAAAAATGGTCACAGCATGGCTGGATTGCTCAAAGTCAGCCTTACACGATTATCTTTAAATATTATAAACCAAATGTTACCATCAACAAAAGCGATTCTTTTCTGGCTTTGTTTTTCATACACTAACCTAACCTAACCCATATGTTATAACAAACCTATACAAGTTTTTGTTGCTTTAAGCACTTATTGTAAAATTCTTGAGCATAAACGAGTCGCTTGTGGAATCGGAACGGTGGGATATTAGGTCCGCCTCTTGTTATGTTTACAGTTTGAAATTGCCTAGAAAAAGTTAGTGAGTTCTATCTTCAAATGAATTATGTTTAAGTACACAACGCACCATACGTCAAAGAAAAAGGGTTGCCGGTTTACACTAAATAGAAAAAGAAACATTCAGTTGAAAAACGCAAGAAATACTAAAATAAAATTTGGAATAGATCGGCTTGTAGTCATTTATTCTCTTATTCTTATTCAAAAGTAAGTTAATATTTAGTTAATACAGATATTGAAGTTTTAAGACCGCCTCTTGTTATGTTGGGTTTACAGTATAAAATTGCCTAGAAAAAGTTAGTAAGTTCTATCTTCAAATAAAAGCTCCTAAATTACGCAATACATCATACATAAAAAAAAGATTGCCAGTTTATACGCAATATAAAAAGAAATATTCAGTTGAAAAACGTATGAAAACTTAAAATAAATGTTGTATAGATCGCCTTGTAGTCTTTTTTTCTTATTCAATAGAAAATTTCCAAAAAATCACAGTATCAAAATAAAAACTGCTCATAAAGTTCTATAAAGTAAAAACCGTAAAAAATTATACATTTTCTAGCACATTTATAAGCACATTTGTTTCAGAGATTCAGAGTAACATTTGGTCACAGTTCCTTAACCGATTGACCAGGTCTCCATTTATTATGGCTCGCTTCGCTTGTTTTTTTTTTTTTGTTTTTTTCGCAGTTCTAATCTAACCGATTGACCAGGTCTCTATTGATGGTATCCTTTATTGCTCTCTTCGCTCGCATTTTATTTTAGTCATGGTTCTAACCCTACCAATTAACCAAATCTCTCTTAACAGTTGCTCCTTATGGCTCACTTCGCTCGCTTTTTGTTTTAGACACATTGCTAACATAATCGATTGATCAGGTCTCTCTTAATGGTCTAGCATTATGGCTCGCTTCGCTCGCTGTTTATTTTGGTCACAGTACTTTAAGCAATTGACCAGGTCTCCATTTATTATGGCTCGCTTCGCTCGCATTTAATTTTAGTCAAAGTTCTAACCTTACCAATTAACCAAATCACTCTTAATAGTTATTCTTTAGGGCTCGCTTCGCTCGCTTTTTGTTTGAGTCACAGTGCTAACATAACCGATTGATCAGGTCTCTTTTAATGGTCTCGTATTATGGCTCGCTTCGCTCGCTTTTTGTTTTATTCACAGTTCTAATGTAACTGAGTGATCAGATTTCTATTGGTGGTGTTCTTTATGGCTCGCTTCGCTCGCATTTTATTTTAGTCACAGTTCTTACCTTACCAATTAATCAAATCTCTCTAATTGGTCACTCTTTATGGCTCGCTTCGCTCGCTTTTTGTTTTAGTCACAGTTAATCCAACACACTAATCCAACCGAATGACAATGTCTCGCTCGCTTTTTTTTTCTGGCGAAAATATTGGATTTTTTTCTCACCACGTAAAGATTGAGTTAAGATACACAATCGGTCTGTATATGCTATAAAGCTCCCGAGTCGCCAGCTCGGTCAGAATCATTCTGAAATTTATATGGATTGTAAAAAAATGATTTAATATTTTTCATAATAATATACATGAAACTTTCTCAAAAATCCCAGTATCACAAAATGTTCAAATTTTTTTTCATCTGGCAACACTTCAGCTGAAAACATATTTTTTGTTAAAATTATTCGGAAAAATATTACCAAAAACGCTCAAATCAGCTCTATAAAGTGAAAGTCGTAAAAAATGATCAATTTTCTAGATATAATGGTCGCAGTTTAAGCCGCCATCTTGAATTTTGTAAATTTAATCCCATACCGGTGTAGCACACCTATTAGCACATCCTACGCAGTTTTTATTATTTTCCTAGCGGCTATAATGACTGCGCTAGAGTCCAAAACGTGAATAGTGAGCATTAAATATTCAACCCGCCGTAGCTGCCGGGGTTGCCAGGTGTAGACGATGAAAATGGTCAAGTGTGATTTCGGGATGTGCCCTCATTCGACGGATACCAATTTTCAAGTTCTAAAATTGTTCCTTTGACAGTTACGCTTTTTGGGGTAAATCTCAAAAACTACCCTAAAATCGGGTAATTTTTTTCCACCATATGAAAGAGTCTATAAAGATGCACAATCGCTCAATACATGCCAAATACCTTCGGGGTTGCCAAGTCGGTCAAAATCGAGGTTGAAATTCAAACGTTGTTTGCTCTCAGTGTTGCCAGTCGATCGTTCTATTTTTTCCATCGGGTATCTTGAAAAGTTAAAATCAAAATATTTACATCAAAAAAGTTCAAAAATTCGACAAAAATTGTTTCCTCAAAACTATCATAAAGTATCAAAAATTTTCAAGATTTTTTTTCACCAGGCAACACTTTAGTTACTTGCCTAAAAAATGTTTCCCTGGAAGTACTCTGACAAATGTCGCCAAGTGCGTCAAAATCGGCTCGACGTGGTGACGATACCCAATTTTTCGGATAAAATGGCCGCTGGTTTGGCCGCCATCTTGAATTTCGAAAATCCGGCTCCGTACCGGTGTGGCCAACTCGATAGCGCGTTCGATGCACTTTTTACCATTTTCCTAGTGGCAATACTGACTGCGCTAGAGTCTACAAAGTAAAAAATGGGTGAAATTTTTCAAATCGCCACATACACCAGGATTGCCAGGTGTCGACGACGAAAATGGCCAAATATCATTTATGGGAGCATCCTCCGTCGAAGGAATGCATTTTTGAAATCCCAAAACGGCTCCTTCTACTTTTCAACTTTTTGGGGTAAATCTCCGAAATTACCCTAAAATCGGGGAAACAATTCACTTCATTCGAAAGAGCCAGCAGAGACTCATGACCGCTCCATACAAGGCGAAGAGCTTCGATGTTGCCATGTAGGCTAAAAGTGCGTTTGAATTTTTCGAAAAAGTGAAAAAATCACAAAATGGCCGCTGCTGGCGCCGCCATGATGATTTTCCCGAGTTTCATAATTTTCCTATAGTCACGACTATATTTGGCGTGACACCTCATTCATAGATTTTCTCCTCTGGCCACCCAGGTTCCCAAACAATTCGGGTTATGAGGGCATGTCGAAAAACATGTTTTCTACCGTGGAGCCCAGGGTTGTCAGCTCGCAAAAATCAAAACTACCAAAAGTTATAGGGCTTCCTCGGCGCCACACCGCATCGAGTCTGTTTTCCGCGAAAAGTGCGTATTTCGAAATTTCACTTTTCTCCCAAAATCTCATAAACTACCACGAAAATGGTAGAAATCGGTAGTGAAGTAGAAAGATCCCACTGAGCCCTACGACCGGCCCATAGATAGCGAATCTGTCCAACGCCGCCATCTTGGAGAAAATCTCACTCGAAAATGGCGATTTTTCATTGCCGAAACAAAATGGCCGCCACCGTCGCCGCCATATGGACTCGCAAGCCAAAACTCCCCGTACGTGAAAATCGACTATAATTCCGAGTCGCCGGCGTAAAAATCCCCCCTCCAAACCCACCACAAAAGAAACGACGATTGCCCGAACAGAGGTCGAAAAATGCCAAATTTCCAGGTGAAATATCTCGGCCGCCATTTTGTATTTTTAATTAAACCTTTTTTCAGTGTCATTTTTTTAGCCATATCTACGACCATTTTGAATATCGTAATCGTAGAGTGTATACTTGGAAAATTAAAAAAATTATCTCGCCGCCATTTTGTTTTTTGGCTGTACCGATATGGTACTTCAACTCGATTGAAAAAAATATTGTCACGCTTCATACATGAAAACGTCATTTTCCCCCTCTTTCTACCTGAAAAAAGCATGGAGTGAGTGAGTGAGTCAGTGAGTGGTAATTAAGCTTTATATATTATAGATAGATATATATATATAGATAGAAGCTTTATAATATATAGATACATACAAAAAGAAGACAAAAAAGCAAAACAACGTACATGTCAGATATCTGACAGACGTCAATATAAGTTTGTAAAACAATCACAAAACTTCAACAATTATCATTGTAAGGCAATAAGGAAATAGTTTTTTCATTAAGACTGACTTTAAACTGGAACTAAGAAGAAAGTAAACAACAAAATACTTAAACTATTTCTTAGATGTTGCTCCACGTCTTGCTCGCGAAATAACAGGCTCCTTAGTCACCACTGCCACAGGTGTAGGCTTCGACTGTTTAGAAACAATTTCATCAAGATCCTCACTGCATTCGACCCGATGCCTTGTGCCACTAGGTCCAAGGACGAAGACCTGCCCTTCCCTAGTCCAACATTTAGAGACACCCAGCCGCTGACGAGCTTCCATAAATACAGAATGACGCGCTTTTGTAAGAAATTCGGACAGGGTCACTCCAGAGCCCGTGGTTCAACCCAGTTTTAGCCGCCCAGATCTCATCACGGATATTAACATCGCGGACCTTAAAGAGAATTGGTCGTGGTCGGCCAGAGCCTGCTCGACCCATCCGATGACAGCGGCTTATGTTGTCCACAGTGAAAGTTGATTTCTTGAGACATTGAGCCACAACAAGTTTTTGCAACAACTGATGTTGTTTCCTCACCTGGCATCTCACCAAAACCATGCAACAGAAGTATTTTTCGACGTCCCCGCATCTCAATATTATCAACCTCCCTGGCAACCCATTCAAGTTGATATTGCATAGAACGCAGAGTAGTACATATAAACTGTTTAAAGGCGACAAAATCAGCAGTCAGTGCATCAGTATCAGTGGTTGGAGATGTCTGCTGTAGTTGACTCTCAAAACTTTCCATGCGGTGGTTAAATGTGGATAGCATTTCACTAAATGTTTGCTTGATGGATTCCATTTTAATAGCAATATGTCAATGAAAGTGCTGAAGTTAATTTACTTGTGAAGTTGGAGAAAGTTTGAAAGGATAACACTATATGGCAGAGGCAGTAAGTTATTCAGTACATTAGTGCATTAAATTTATAAAAAAAAAATAAATATACACTTTTTCCTTAAAAAATTACAGGAGTTGAAAATTTTAAATACCACTATTAAAAACCAAAATAATGTTTAATTTAATAATAATGTTCTGTTTTGTTTATGAATGAATTAAAAGCTGAAAGTGCTGTAGTAATAAATTATTCTACATTATGGAATTGTGCTAAACAAAATCATAAAGTAACTAAGTACCTTTACTTCGACCTTTTTATCTTTTTTTTTTCACACTTGAAACGTTAAATTATTTTAATTTACAATGAAAGTTATTGAACAATCAAAATGTGTAAAGTGTCGGATAAATATAAGAGATCATGACATGGATGGAGATGATGCACATATCACAAATCGAGGGACCCTACAACTTACCACGATGGGAGAGAGCATCATCAATCGGAGAGTGACAAGTAAGTTAAAAATATTATGATGTCATAGCACAGAATACTTTAATTTTTTTTGCATAAAATAATTATTATCCCCCCCTCCCCCTCTCTGTTCCCTATCAAATTCATAACTATAAAAGGTTATCAAAAGTTTTTTTTTTATTTTAGTTGTTAAAAGGAATTCATGTTTGAGGTGAAGGCTGCTAAAAGGTAACAAGTTCAAGAAAGTATATCATAGATAACGCTGCAGATTCTTATAACTGCTTGGTTAAATCTGTATGCAATATTAAGTTAAAACTATATTTTAGTCATTTGACACAATTCCATTGCAGGTGACATGAAGTCAGTGAAATATAATTTATTTGTTACAGAGACGCCATGGCTGTAACAATAATGTAGGTATTTATTATTTCACCAACTGTAGAAATGTAATTTTTTCATAAATTCTTGCAGATTTATTGCATTACAATTCAGTTTAGTCAGAAGTTTATTGTATTTTTTATCAAAAAAGATATCTTTATCCTTTCTGTTGAGTCTATAATTTCCAAACAAACTCTTTTTTATTTGAATATCCCAATGACTTGCTTCCATATGAATAAATACAAGTTCGGTTTTTTTTCGATCAAAATGTTAAGCCGGCGGTGCCAGCCTTCTAAGGCATTTGTGGTTCTGTGCCTTTGACCTGCACAGCTTAACATTGTTGCTGATAATTTAGGATACCATTGATTTTCGTAATAATGTTGAAATCTTTGCATTTATTTGTGTGCCTGGGGCTGAATCGAGTATATTTTGCCAAGCTTCTGGAATTTTGTTGGCTGGAACTAATGGCATAATTGCGCATAATCTCGTTGTATTACGCCCTTCCTTCGTTTCAGTTAGCTTTAATTTCTTAGATTGTTTCCAAATAGCTGTATTGTAATGCCGATAGCAACTTGTTACTTTGGCATTAGAGAAAACTGATAATACAGCGTTGCTTTGTGCAATTTCATAATCAGACTTAAATTCGGTTATTTCAATATCCAGTTTTTGATTTAAAATACGAAATAGTCGTTCGTACGTTGCCTGTGTCTTATTCGGCAACAAAGCATAGACAACAGGAATTATATTTGTTGATTTGGAATTGGAATTAAGGTCATAATGCAGGGTATATAATTGGTAAAATGGGCGCGGGGTTACCTTAAAAGTTCCATCTGCATAATAAGACCCGGACTTTTTAATAATTTTTCGGCTTAATTTTGACGCAAATACTAAAATTTTTTCGGTGTCGCCGTCTTCACAAACAAAAAATCTTTTAGCGAGGCGTTCCGGTATCTTAACTGTTGCGGGGAGTCGTGGTCCAATCTACACGTATTCAAAAATTTCTTTCGGGTCCTATACAGGGCATCTTTCACAGACTTAAATGAGGGCAAGTCGCATGTATGCACTTTTTAAGTTTCTCAATTTCATTGTTAAATATTGTCCGTATCGAACCAAAATCTCTACATACTTCTTTTTTCATATATGCAATATGTTTGCGAACAATATTACTTGCATCATTGGTAACACATGTATGTTGCGATTTTCTCAGAATACGTTTCCTTGTTTTATCTATTGTTATAGTAGCACTGCATTCCTTCCTCTTAACACAACGCCACTTCTCACTTTTGCTTTTGTTCGTAATATGTTTATTATATGAGTAACCACCACAAAGCAAGGTGTATCGACCGCTTTGATTTTTAACAAATTGTATGTCCTGATCCATTGTGATTTATTTTAAACAAATAAAACGAGCAACATTATAGAACTTGTTAATCAAAACAAATGTCATAGTTATTTCGTAGTACCTGCATAATCAGTAAATAAAAATATAGCAATAATAAATGTTATGAACAAAATGAAAGTTGTAATTGTAAATTTTTATGTAAGTAATTATTTTTTAATAAATTAATAAGTTTCTTAACTCAAAAATAAATATTAAAATAGCTTTTAGGGAAAATATAGTTATGCAAATATGTAACAACTGCCATCTATGTTATTGATTATTAACTATTATATTAACAACCTAATATACTTGAATGAGTAGACTTCGATATAATACATGGCGGCACTTGTTGTAACAATTACGAGTATCCTAAATTATTTGATTTTGGAATACCTATATCACCATAATTTTTACAATGAACAGGACGTTTTTTATTTTCATATGAATGTTGATTTTTTCATAATACTTAATTGTTATGTTGAATTTGTAAGAATTTTGATTTTGGAACATTACACATAATTATTTAAAGCTATGTTTTTAAATAATACCAAAGTTCAACTTGTAGGTCGAAAATGTTAAAAACAACTTTTATCCGTGGGGTGAGCACGGGTTCCTCGATAGTATCGTATCGAATTCTTACGAGGAAATTAGTATGGAAAATGATTACTTTCGCTACTCTCCGCCATGGGCGCCACTAAAAGTTCCATACAAATTTGCTCAATACGAATTCGATACGATACTATCGAGGAAACCCGGTTGGGTGCAGTCTTGTGTCATGTTGTGAAGGATGGCAACAGTGGTAAAATAGTAGAAAAACCTATTGCCTTTGTGTCTTGTTCTTTAACTAAAACACAACAAGGGTATTCACAGTTGGATAGGGAAGCCCTTGCTATTATCTATGCAGTAACAAAGTTTCATAAATATCTTTGGGGTAGGCAGTTTACTATTGTGACTGATAACGCACCTATCAGACATATTTTACACCTGTCTAAAAATATTCCAAGATTAGCTGCTCACCGCCTACAGCATTGGGCCTTAATTTTAGAAAATTATAATTATAATATAGAGCATAGGAAAAGTGAATTATTGTGTCATGCAGATGCATTATCAAGATTACCTGTTAATTCTATCCTGTGTGATGAAACTAATATTCATTATGGTCATCCAGTCAGTTATGTAGAAATTGCAATGGAAACTAGAAGTGACCCATTGCTAAGGAAAGTCTTAGAATACACTAGATAAGGATGGCCTAATCATATAAAAGATTCATCTGTATTAACTTATTTTAAATCAAGACACAATATATCTATTGTTGAAGATTGTTTAATTCTTGGATCTAGGTTAATTGTACCACAAAAGTGTCAAGCTCGCATTCTTGATTTATTGCATGAGGGACACCCAGGTATAGTTAGAACAAAAATGTTAGCTAGTTCATTATTTTGGTGGCCTTCAATGTCCAGTGACATTGAACTAAAATGTCGGTCATGTGAACCATGTTCTGTAATTAATTTTAAACCTAGTAATGTTAAATTGTCATAGCCACAATGTAAGGTACCATTTGAGAGAGTACATATAGATTTCTTTGAACTTCAGAAACAACATTTCCCTATATTTTGTGATTCCTATTCTAAGTGGATTGATATAAAAGTTATGAAACAGTGTAATGCTACATGTGTTATTAAAGAAATGTATTCTATTTTTGCTATAGTAGGTCTGCCATGTGAAATTGTTAGTGATAATGGTCCACCATTTGATTCTATTCAATTTATTGATTTTTGTACCAGTCTTAATATTAAGGTGACTAAATCCCACCTTATCACCCAGAAAGTAACGGATTGGAAGAAAGAAATGTACAAATTGCAAAAAAGATTAATTTTAAGAAAGGAGAAATTGATGTGCTATTAGAAGTGTACAAGTTTTTGTTTAATTATAGAAATACTCAAACAGCTGTTAATAGTAAGACTCCAAATTCTATGTTATTATCATATTTACCTAGAACTATGTTGTCAATGCTAAATCCAGTAAATAACCCTAGTTCAGTTAAACGTATGGCATCATATCCTCATTTTAGAGAAAATGAACATGTTTTAATTAAAAGTGGTTCTGCATATCCTCTCAGAGGTTATATTATAAAAGTTTTAAGTCCAGTTATATATCTAGTTTCTTCTGGAGGCACGTTGCCGCATTCTGGTGCTACGACCCAACCTCGCAAGTCGAATTTAGCTTGTGACATTATTTTTTGTGACTGAAACATAAATGTAGTCACCTCAATTTCTGTGTCTAAGGACGTTACACAATTATCAACATAAATTGTTTCTTTTAATTTTCTGGCTGTTTCTTTATATTCATCATTATAGTTGTTCTCTAAGTGATAATTTATAGTAGCTGACAAAAGAAATGTGCTACATGTATTACACAGGGTTATTACAGGGTTGCTATTATGTTGATATATCACTATTTTGGTTCTCTTCCTAATATCATTCCACCACAAGAACTTCGCATGCTCACGATCCTTTTTACAAATACATATTTGTAAAAAGGCCTTTGCGATATCAGCGACTACTCCAAATAACTTAGGTATCAATTCAATCAGATTGATACCTTTGTTAAGGCAATCATTCAATGATAAACCCTTTCTGTCTTTGGCAGAGGCATCATAAACACTCGCACTCTCGTAGTGGTACTAGAAGGCTTTATCACTGTGTGATGTGGTAAATAGTGACCTGATTTTAGATTTGCATTTTTTACTTTCTGTATTATTCCTTCTCTTTCCCATTCTTTAAATATTTCATCATTTTGCTGAAGGTTACCTGAACTTAACAGCTTCCTTGTTGTAGTGTCTAATCGTTTTCGTGCCACTTCATAGTTGCTATTTGGCTCCGGGCAACCTTCCTTCCATAACAAAGATACTTCATAGCGGCCTAACTCGTTCACTGAAATTTTATCATTAAACATATTTAATATTTCTAGTTCTGCCACTTTCTTACTCTTCTTTTCATAGGGGTCCTTAATACCTAGCAATTCGATATCCCATAAATTTGAGATATCGGTTTGTGACACATGATGTACACTCAACATATCATTAACTTCCATATTTCTTATTTTGTTTCTTTATAGGTCCTTGTATGGTCCATCCTAATTTTGTTTCTGATGTAAATAAATTGCCTCCCAATAAAACC